GTGTTCTCTTTCAGGTTCAGCTGCTCGAAGTATCCGTCGACGCTTCCGAAGAGGATGAGGCCGTCCTGTACCTCGAAGGCAGTACCTGTCCCAAGATCTACACTTCTCATGGGCTTGATTGCACCGATGATGTCCGCTCCTAGCAGACATTCGAAGCCACCGATGACGTCGTTGGTGCTGTGACTGAAGAACGAGTCGGCCAGACGCACTCCTTGGGCTCTCAGGAACTGCACCAGGGACGTCACGCCAGGGATCTCGTATTCCAGACTCATTTCCGGATCAACCAGGAAGCAGTGGTGGGCCGAAGCGGTTGGAGTGAAGATGATGTCGGACGTAGCCGCTCTGTAGTTCTTTTCCTGTACGCCGATGCACGTTTTGACTTTGTATGTTGTCTTGGGTGCCTGCAGTGGACAACCAAGCTTCACTGCCAACTCTTCGCTGATGTATGACGCTTGTGAGCCCACATCTATCATGCATCGAACCAGCTCACTTCTTTCGCCGTTGTGCATGATGACCGTCATGGACGGGAGGAGGACCGTCTGGCCCTTTTGTAGACTGTTGCAGATCAGACGCATTCCACTTTGCAGTGGCGTGGTCTCTCCAGGTTTGACGACACACACTGCTGATATGTGTTGCTTGCTGCCACACAGAGTGCAGGGATACGAGAGACCTGATGTCTGGCTTTTGCAGTCCGTCAGCTTGTGGGATCCACTGCATTTTGTGCAGAGCTCCAGGTCTTTGAGGCGTTGGATTCGTGTTCGAGGTGATGTGTACGCTGAACACTTCAGCATGGAGTGTGCACCTTCGCACAGCTTGCACGCCTTGAACTTCGATGTGGAATGACTGGGAGTCTTCTTGATCGGCTCGGCACTGGTTTGGAATCGTTGTAGTGACGACTTCGCTGGTTTGGCTGAGCCGGTGACCTCTGTTGTCTTGAGCTGTTTCGGCTTCGACGAGAGGTCCGTGGTGTGTTTTGTTTCTTGCTTTGCAGGTGTCGTCTTCATCAACGACTTGATCACGGCGTTGAAGTTCTCGAGCAGTTGTCTTGTAGAAGGGTAGTCAGTGTGCAGGACTGCGCTCAACTTTACCTTGAAGTTCACTGGGAGTTTTTCGCAGATGATGAAGCTGATAATTTTGCTTCCAAGAGTTCCGTCTTCGAGTGCGTCGTATCCAAACGCCTTGAGTTCATACACAGAGGTGCGAGCAGTATTGAAGAACGCGCGCAGCGCTGGCAAATCTCTTGCAGGTGGTGGGGGTAAGTCGTGGAGTTTCCTGATATGTTCCTCCACGATGACATCAGTGTCGAGATATTCCTCGGTTAGGAACTTTCTTGCGATGGTGTAGTTTTTCTCTTCAGTTGACAAGTGTTTGATGGTATCTAGCGCGTTCCCACGCAGATAACTCTTCAAGTACATCAGCTTAGCCGATTGATTGTAGGCCGAGTTGTTGCCGATGAGATCGTCGAACATCTTGAGGAAATCGTTGAACGACATCACATCATCTTGCGTTCCGGAGAACAGCGGCATCTTGAGCTTCTGGATCGCTGGCTGTTTGATGTTCTGCTCGTTGGTTCCGGTTTCCTCCTTGACATTCTTCATGGTCTCGTTGTTGAAGCTGAAGAAGGCTTTCTTCGTGGTTGAGAAGATGTCATACATCTCGTCCATCCAGGTATCTTCCTTCTCCATCTCCTGTTCAGATGAGAGCAGCGAAACGTAGTCATTGTGCTTCCGTTCGACATCGGACCACGCTGTCTGCAACTCTCCCCAGCAGTCTTGGACTAGGCTTGGTTCAGCCTTGTCTGTGATGTGCCGTAACAGGTTTCTGTTGATTCTGGAGAACGAACGCTTACTGTTCGCTCGAGCGTTCCGAAGCTTCTCCATGGTTGCAGGGTAGTGATACTAGATGAGGCGACAATAGGCTGGACGCTGATGACCAGACTGCAGCAGAGTCTAGACGTTGATGAAGCGACTGCAACAGGGTCTTGATGTTGATGAAGCGACTGCAGCAGGGTGCTGACGCTGAAGACCGAACTGCAGCAGGATCTTGACGTTGATGAAGCGACTACCGCAGGGTCTTGATGTTGATGAAGCGACTGCAGCAGGATCTTGACGTTGATGATGCGACTGCAGCAGGCGGCTGACGCTGAAGACCAGACTGCAGCAGGATCTTGACGTTGATGAAGTGACTGCAGCAGGGTGCTGACGCTGAAGACCAGACTGCAGCAGGATCTTGACGATGAAGCGACTGCAGCAGGGTGCTGACGCTGAAGACCCGACTACAGGAGGATCTTGACGTTGGTGAAGCGACTGCAGCAGGTTGCTGACGCTGAAGACCCGACTACAGCAGGATCTTGACGTTGGTGAAGCGACTGCAGCAGGTTGCTGACGCTGAAGACCCGACTACAGCAGGATCTTGACGTTGGTGAAGCGACTGCAGCAGGGTGCTGACGCTGAAGACCAGACTGCAGCAGGATCTTGACGTTGATGAAGCGACTGCAGCAGGGTCTTGACACTGAAGACCAGACTGCAGCAGGATCTTGACGTTGATGAAGCGACTGCAGCAGGTTGCTGACGCTGAAGACCAGACTGCAGCAGGATCTTGACGTTGATGAAGCGACTGCAGCAGGGTGCTGACACTGAAGACCAGACTGCAGCAGGATCTTGATGTTGATGAAGCGACTGCAACAGGTTGCTGACGCTGAAGACCAGACTGCAGCAGGATCTTGACGTTGATGAAGCGACTACTGCAGGGTCTTGAAGTTGATGAAGCGACTGCAGCAGGTTGCTGACGCTGAAGACCAGACTGCAGCAGGATCTTGACGTTGATGAAGCGACTGCAGCAGGGTGCTGACACTGAAGACCAGACTGCAGCAGGATCTTGATGTTGATGAAGCGACTGCAACAGGTTGCTGACGCTGAAGACCAGACTGCAGCAGGATCTTGACGTTGATGAAGCGACTACTGCAGGGTCTTGATGTTGAAGCGACTGCAGCAGGGTGCTGACGCTGAAGACCAGACTGTAGCAGGATCTTGACGTTGATGAAGCGACTGCAGCAGGTTGCTGACGCTGAAGACCCGACTACAGCAGGATTTTGACGTTGATGAAGCGACTGCAGCAGGTTGCTGACGCTGAAGACCAGACTGCAGCAGGATCTTGACGTTGATGAAGCGACTGCAACAGGGTGTTGACGCTGAAGACCAGACTGCAGCAGGATCTTGACGTTGATGAGTCAGCCTCCTCTGTCAGACTAGCTCACAACTTCCCTGAGATCAGCTGGTCAATTCTCGTTGATCCTTACACTTGAGGTTAACGACAATTCTATGCAGTTTGATAACAGTTGATATTGAGGTTTTAACAATCTTGCAATCAGTGACAGATTGAGTAACTTGCACTGTGCAGCTCAGTTTAAATATGGCTGTTTCAGTTTATTTCTATCTGTTTCGTCAAGTTCAACTCAAACCCAGTTTGGGGCCAAATCACAGTTTTTCTGCGACCAAATCACAGTTTTTCTATGTACGGATTTGTACGAGGGGCACACAGAAAATTATTATTTGACGTTGGTTTTGACAGGGTAATGATGTAGGGATGAGAATTCGAGGGGAAAGTTGGACCGCCACAGACACAGGCCGGGCTTACCTTGACGTAGGTCTTGTCTCGAAGTCGTCGGTCCTGTGATTTGGTCGGTCTCACTGGTACTTCCCCGCGTAGGTTTGCCGGGACGAACCGCGTAGGTAGATCTCTCGATGTTCTCGTAGGTAGGTATCTCTTGATGAGTATGTTTGTAATAGGTGAATTCAGGCACAAATCAGTCGTGAACACATATGGCTCCAACCGGTAACGGACAACGACTGCCCTCTCCGTGGCTCAGGCGGGCGGCTGCGGGCGGACGCCAGTCACGTGCTTATCGCCCGGGGGCAGGTCAGCTGACCGGTCGCCTGATCCGCCGCCCAGCCCGGCCCAGTGTCCAACGCGTGGCGGGGGGAGGGGAGGAGCCGGTAGGAGAGGGGGAGGGAGAGTGGCTGGTTTTGGTGTTTTGCAAGGGAATTTCTACAAGATCCTTCTAATACCGGGAGCACCATTCAATACATCACGTGGCTGGCGAAAACAGGGCCATTTCTCGTGGCGGCACACGGTCGGCCGGCGCTGGAGGGCGGTGGCAGCCGACTGGAGGCTGGCTGTCGGCCCGAGTGGCACCTGAGGCGGCGTGCCGCGCTCTCACAGACACCTGTCCGCTTGACAGACGTCTCGAGAGGAGCGGGGCCACACAGCCGAGAAGGAGCGGAAACGCACAGCCACAGAGTGGTCTGAATCTGGACGCAGAGACGGCTTGAGATGCGAAGTGGTTTGAGATTGGAAATTCAGCGGTTTTCGGGACACAAAATGATAAAGCATAAAAAAAACAGTAGGGTTGACAGTATTTCTGAAAGATACCTGAGGTGCGCTGAAATTCAGGCTCCATTTCGTGAGACGACAAACAGGTTTCCTTATTTGTCAACTTCCACTGTTTGCATAGCTTGACTTTTCTATGTAACACAGTACCTACCTATTGACAAATGACAAATATTTCTTCAATAGCCCAGAGACCTGTACCTACTGTTTACGACCTACCAGTAATGATTGCGCCAAGGTGCCCCATATTCCCTGCCTCAAATGCATGTTAGAAAATCAAATTGATGTCATTAATGCGATTCAAAGTTCAATGCATTCACTTTCATACTTCCACGATTTAATAACAACGTTACTGAAGCGTGATCGCGAAATCCACGTAGGTATAATAATCAGCTAGAGAAAGTCTTTCGTAGCGTAAAAGACCTCCCACGAATTCTTTGTTTATCTGCATTTCAAATGCGTCCAAACGTCGGGCTAGCAACAGGCCTGCATTTGATGCGGCAAATTTACTACTGTTCCATAATGCAGCGCTGTTATGGAGAAACGTTGAATTATTTCCGTCCAGCTCTCCACCTATAGACTCGCTAGCCACACAAACGGCTCGAACTCACCATGACTGGAAGGATGTGAGTGATCTGTCCGGTGAGCTCGAACACAATCACTGAGGTAGAGATGGTGTGCGTGACGGAGCCGGCCAGAGCCGCCGCGCCCACGATCGAGTAGCCCCCTGAAACGGATGGGAAATGAGCTGGGGCGACGGCCGCGCTGAGCTGCGGCGGGGGTAGACTGACCCGCACGGCACGAGTGCGTTGCGGTACAGTCTACCCTACCAGGTAAAACGAGCGATCAGGTTCTACCAGCTCAAGCGCGGGAGTATTCCATAGACTGCTGCACCGTTCATCAGAATCTGATGAGCAGATTTGTGTCACAGTGGCATCTCGTCACTGGCACTAAGGAGAACTTGCAGCCGAACTTAGCAGTTAGCACAAAAGTGACGTAAGCGATCGGAGAAGTATATTAGTGCCTATCGAGGTGACTTGTAATTTGACCTCCCGACCAGCACAAAGGCACGATCGGCCTGGCAGGGCCCGTTCGCTGGGGTGAAATGGTACGACAGAGCAAACAGACAGACCAAACACAGGGTATGGCGCAGGGCCAATTAGTCTCTGTCCAATTCGATCTAAAGACGACACGCCCGCAGACGCTGGGTCTCGAGAGTCTAAGGGGAGCTCGGTGGACGTCCTGAGCAGTGGTGTTTGGCACCATGTGCAAAATAACTGGACGATTCGCGTGGCTCGAACCTCTCGAGTGACGCGAGACGGTGAGTTACGGCCGCTGGCCACTGGGTTCGCAGCGGTCAGCTGACCCACTAAATATCTCAGAAAATGACAGCTGATCTCCTGTTTTTATTTTCAGTGACAAGTCAACAGGGTCATATGCCAATGCGATGTGATTTGTGTAAATGCTAGATAAAAATAAAACTAAAACGTTTCCAATAAGCTTGAGACAGATGTCGTGCACATACCAATGCTGTCACTTGAGCGCTGAAAAATAATGAAACAAAAATAAAGTCTAGCGCTGGCGTGTTTCCGGTTGCAAATTGTAAGTCAGCTGGCCCAATTGACTGAAAGACAGATCGCTATATCGAATCGGAAATTTGGTTTAGAATCGACCGAAAGCAGCTACAGTGCAGTATGTTCAAGGCTCAAGCGATCGAAAAATGTTGTTGCACTGCATGGTTACAAGCACCTACTGACACTTTTTCGAAACACGATTAATGCGTCTTTCTAGGAATGAAATATTGCAGGCCGTAAGCATGACTTTCTAATTCTAAGTGAGGACAGCATATTTTCGATTAGGTATCTAAAAACATCAACAAAGTAAATTGGGCATGGGCATGGATAAGTAGCCAATGTTCAACACCGTTTGTATTACACGTATACTGCCAATGTATGTAAAAAGATTGATAGTTACAGACATTTAGAGCGCAATTCCGTTTATTACGGACCATCCTTCCCCACAGCCTACCTGGCCGGATCGGTGAGATGTGTCCGCCGTAGCGCACCCCCTGTGGAAACCACATAGCCAGCAGTTCGCCAACCAGACGGCCGAATGCCGCACCCATCTTGAACACCGGGATGAAGATGCCCGAGGGTACTGGCAGCGTTGAGGCCACCACGCACATGCCAAACTGTAACACAGGTGAAGGGTGGTCATCAGCGGGGTCTAGAGATTAGATACAAGAAGTGGGGATGGAGGTGATGACAAACGGGAGGCAGGACGTGACACACATGGTCATAAGGCCCAAATGACCGCGTGATATAGTATGTAGGTATGTGTAAGTTGCCCGTACGGAGCTCAAAAGTTCATGTTGGGTGGGGTGGGAACGGAAAAAGCTGCCAAAAGAACAACACATTAAGCGATCAGTCGTACTTTCTTCTGATCAGTATTTCGGTCACGAAGGGTGAGGCTTGAAATGGAAAAGCTCTGATCGGCGAAGCAATTGAGCGGGTCTCCAAACTCTAAGAAAAAGGAACAAAAGAGAGCCTAAAACGAGCGGCATCGATGTGATTGGCCGTGTGGTTGTGTGCTCCTTGGAGTTGGCAATAGGAGGCGTGACAGGACTGCGAGGGCAGCAGAGCACAGCCCATCAGTGAGACCGCACTGGGGCAGCGCTAATTAAGTTACGAACAAATGTAGAGGAAAAGGGCATCGGGTACTCGGAAGAGAGACACACGTCAGCCGTTGTCTCTGTTACTTTGGGTCATATGACACAAACCATCCTAATAATATTATACACAAATAATAAAGGAAATAGTTGGGTGAAGCAAAGATAAGAAGGGAGCGGGATAGGCCACGTGTCGTTAGATACGCAAACAAGGCAAGGTTACAACATGCCATAATGTCGTATAAATAACGATAAATACCGGTTATCAGTTCGAAGTTTGTGAATGTTTAGAAGAAAAAGCAAAAAGCTTTCGACTTTATTTGACATAAGATATGGATATTGATGGATATGATCGAACCACCCGAATCGTAATAAAAGCGGCTTGCCTGTATGACTTATGACACGAGTGATTTGAGATGGGGGTCTGGTCCCCATTACCACCGCCGCAGCAGCAGGGGCCACACACTGATGTTTGTTTTCACTTCCCGGCGGAACGTCGTCTGACGGACAACAGTCATGTGTCGTGTCAAGAAACCAATCCTCTAAAAACTGACAGCTCTTGCCACCTAATCTCCTCATCATATACATGCGCTTTTGGCAGTCTTTATACCTCGTGTCGCGCCCAAGCCGACGGAACGAAACGTCACAATTCTCTGGACCGAAATAAATGAGAGCTGAGAGTTATTTATGACATGGTGCGGAGATCGATTATGAAGGCCATCCTGAATCCGAGGGAACGTATTGTTTTAAAGGACACGGTGCCATTTATTTTCTCTGTCTGGGGCATTCCACGATAGATCGACCAAAAATAAATAAAATTTACACCCTCATATTTTATTTTTTGCTTAAAATTGGTCTAATGGGTTGTGATGGGCGGGGGAACCCAGCTGTGGCAAGGATTTTTTTCTTCGAACAACGGTTTCCGAGATATAGCCTCGGGCAGTTCCTGGAGGTCACACTGCAACCCTATGTTTGGCGGCTTATAACTCAGAAACTATTGGTTTTCTATGGTAAAAATTTATATGGTTCAACTCGCAATCATTCAACAAACGTTTGGGCTATCTCGGATTTTCGATTTTTGAAAATTTTGATCACGTGACATCTTGACCTTTTTTTCGAAGAGTGACCTTGATATTATCCCAACTGAAAGTCGCAATTTTGTCTGATGACGATTAAAGCCTTATCAATTGTCATTCATATGCGATAATAAAAAAGTGGCTTTCGGCCTACGTTGACCTCAGGTCAGGCCATTTTTATGACCTTCCCATTATTACGAGCGGGAGCGACAGCGAGATCTCGAGAACAAAGCAAGATAGCGACAAGGGGTAAACGGCACAAAGTACACATGGATAAGGTCTACAATTTTTACTCAGGTCATTTTCAAGTCAGGTCAAAGATGACGTCACAGGGGTAAAAAGAAAGTCTAAATGGCGGCACTACATATATATGAAGTTTTTCTCGAATAACTTTCAAAGTATCCCAGCTAGGAACAAACTAATAGCACCATCGTGATCCTCTCGTCGATCCGCATCGAAATATGTGTATGTTGACCTCGAAAGGTCAAGGTCAAAAGTTGACCTTAGGTCACGTGACCTTAAGGTCATCATATATATCATTCGATGGGCCTTGACGAGCTGAACACAATGAGCCTATCCGCGCGGCTGTATCTCAAACCTGTAAGGAGTTATTAGAAAAAAAACATTTGGTGACCTATAATGACGTCACATGACCCAAAAGCAACGTCACAGTTGACCAAGAGCAAAAAAGGTCTCGAGGTAGTCAAAGTGAGTCGTATATGAAGTAACTCATGGTATATTAGGCAATTCCGACGCGTTTTAGTGTAAAAACAAGGGAGCTGATTTTTCCCCAATTGACTTATAATGGGGTGGTCAAGAAATTGACCTGACCTCAGGTCATCGGTATTGAAATTCAAAACGAACTGGCGCTAGGCGAAAGCAAACACAATGGTGCCTGTTCCACGTCTCTTTCTTTATTAGATCAAAAGGTACAGCCAAAACTAAATTTTGACTTCCTTTTTACCCCTGTGACGTCATCTTTGACCTGACCTGAAAATGACCTCCGTAAAAAATTGTAGACCTTATCCGTGTGAATCCTGTACCGTTTACCCCTTGTCGCTAGCTTGCTTTATTCTCGAGATATCGCGTCACTCCCGCTCGTAATAATGGACAGGTCATAAAAATGACCTGACCTGAGGTCAACGCAGGCCGAAAGCCACTTTTTTTATTTGCGCATATGAATGACAATTGATAAGGCTTTAATCGTCATCAGACATAATTGCGACTTTCAGTTGGGAAAATATCAAGGTCACTCTTCGAAAAAAGGTCAAGATGTCACGTGATCAAAATTTTCAAAAATCGAAAATCCGAGATAGCCAAAACGTTTTTTGGTTGATTGCGAGTTGAACCATATAAAGTTTGTACCATAGAAAACCAATAGTTTCTGAGTTATAAGCCGCCAAACATAGGGTTGCAGCGTGACCTCCAGGAATTGCCTGAGGCTATATCTCGGAAACCGTTGTTAGAAGAAAAAAATCCTTGGCACAGCTGGCTTCCCCGCCCATCACAGCCCATAAGACCAATTTTAAGCAAAAAATAAAATATGAGGGTGTACGGCTTTGGTCGATCTATCGTGGAATTGGTCTAGCCAGAACAAAGCATTCCAGATAACTTCGAGAGAAAATGTAAGGGATACAGGTCCTCTAAAATAGATTTAAATGACACAAGTAGTCACCATCACTTAGTTATGCAGCATGCACCAGTGCCATTCAAAATTCAAATAGCAAATATTTCAATGATATGAAGAAGTGTGATGGCGGCAGGCTGTACGAAAAAACCCATCTTTACCTCTTTGTCCCAAGTTTAAAAGAGACGCCTAGGACCGCATTCTACATGAAAGGATTAAACAAAAGGAAACACGGTATACAATCACGAATGGACGTAAGAAAAATCCGAAAAGCAAGCTGCAACAAATACACACACATCTTCAGCAAAAAGACGATAACTCAAGGCTCTCTTATAATCGAAGTGACAATCCACGGTCGTGTTGCAGTCTCTACTAACCGTGACTAGAATGTAGATGCAGAAGTGACAATCCACGGTCGTGTCGCAGTCTCTACTCACCGTGACTAGAATGTAGATGCAGAGGTTGGCGTAGAAGCTGGTGTACGGGTTCGTCCAGTGATTCACCGCCTCAGCCTCGTCCACCGTGAGATCACTTGAGGACCAGGTGAAGTTGGCAAACAGCTCCAGCACCTAAAGTAAGGATCAGTCAGTAGAACAGGAAGTCATGATGTTTGCAAATGTATTATGGCATTTAAAGTGGACACTGCAAACTCGTTGTCCTCAAGCAATGAATTATTTGCGCTGTGTACTTACGTGACATCGTCCTATATTGAGAGAGACTTAATTAACTGACATTAATGACAACACAACCGTGTGATGTAAGTAATTATCTTTGTAAAGCTTTTCTCTAATATCCTTACACATTGCCTTCCCATATCACACAAGGCATGAGCCGGTAAAAGGTAACTACATACGTACAGTGAAATATCAGACAATCGTAAAGCACGACATGGAAGTATGCCAGGCCCGGTCGGCCGCACCAAGCGCCACCTGCTGACTGAACAGAGAACTAGAGCTTGCTGACCTGATCGTGAGTGGTCTGGTCCGCTGCCAAAAACTGTCCCAGCCCCAGCGGGAACGTCGTGGATGAGATCAACAGTGCTACCAGAAACGGGTACAGGAACCGGCTGCAAATGGAGAATTACACTGTGAGGATGATGCAACGCTCTCTTGAAAGATCACACGGCTTTATCGTACTCCATTTATATGCAATAGCATACAAATAACAAATAACAATACAATAACAACATACATTTAGGTACCTATTCATGGGCGCTGGGTGATACACTACAGGTGTTCGGAAATACACATTTACAAAAAAAACATATGATCGTTAATTATGTGAGGAATAAGCAAACGCTGTGCAATACGCTGAAGCATGACATCTGCAAAAGGATTAACCCGCGCCGGGCCGGGGGGGGGGTGTTTGAACACCCCCCCCCCCTGCGGTTTTTCGCAGATATCTCAAAAACGGCGGCGCGGAGCGCCACCGTTTTTGACACACCTGTTCGTGCATCTTTTCCGCACATGTTGTGAAGATTTCAGACCCAGGTCGCCTTAGGTCAGGTCACTAGGTCACGCCAGATGACCTCACCTCAGTAAAAATAAGAATGCTCGTCATAGCTACACCGATTGATCGATTGCCTTGAAACTTTCAGCGATTGATAAGAGCCACAATATCGATAAAATGTATATCTCGGAATTTTGATATCGGTGACCTAAGGTCAGGTCAATTTTGCGGCCTCTCCATTAGGTATAAGTCAATGCGAGAAAATTGAAAAGCGTCTGTTTTGCACGAACGCTATTCTAGACACTCTCAAACATCGAGATATAGGTAAGATTGACACACTGAACCAGAAAATGGCAACTGTGACCCCTCGTTATGTCCCCGAGGTCATCTCAGGTCACGAACAGAATCTAACAGTTTTTCGCTAATAACTTCTGATAGAGAGGTGCTAGAGCGCTGAAAACGCCTTAGATGTGTTCGGCTCAACGTTGCCGATCGACTGATATGCAACATGACCTTTTCCGGTCAGGTCATGACCTTGACCTGAGGTTAAATTTTCAAATTGACCTTTCAAGGTCAAATTATAGTTCATTCGACGCGTCTCGACGAGAGGAACACGATGCTGGCAAAAGTAATGTCATGGCTCTTTTGAGTCAAAAGTTATTGCCGAAAAACCGTTTTTCGTAAAAACGGCTATTTTGGGAGTTTTTGCCCTCTGGAGGCTAAACCGTTGACCGGAGGTCAAATCTGAGAACATTATTCAGAAAGGTATGTAAAAGGGCTATCGAATGCGCCTTTCCGCGGCCGGCGGCGCTGTAGCTCTATCGGTTCCCGAGATAGCCGTTGGCACTTGGCAGTTTCCAAAATGTTGAAATGGTCAACATTTTACCTTTGGTGACCTCTGGTGACCTGACCTTTGACCTGACCCAAAAAATGACCGAAGTGTTTTCGTCCTTATTTTGGACGTTCTTTCGATTGCCGCTTACCGCGTGTCGCTACGTGGCCCAGGAGCCGAGTTAGAAGGGGGGTTGGTGTTCAGACACACCCCCCCGGCCCGGCGCGGAATCTCAGAGCACCGGCCCGGCGCGGGTTAATGTAATCATCTGCTTTATGTTGGAATGTATTAACAAGCACGTACTTCCTGGACAAGAAGCTCTTCATACACGAATTACTTCTCATGAAGACGACGTATCTCCTATGCAGCCACACGAAGAAAGCACCAGCGAACCCGGCCACAGCCCTGCGAAATAATACGAATCAAGACGACTCAACACTATTCATGCATTCAGCATCATGCACACACACACACACTCGAGCATACACTGCACTCGAGCTATATGCGAGGCAACAAAGAATTCACCTCATATGTCGCATGCTATTTTGCGTCTAAACATTCTTAGATAAATTATTTTGAAAGCGCGATTTATGTTCAATAGTTCTGAAATCGTAGCTATATGCAACGATTCAATCTGATATGTGCATTACGTTGCTCTTATCGGTGATCGTTGCCATCACAACATCACGAGAAAATGAATATAACATGTCCAGATTACAGGTGTTAAATTAATCAATAGTTACAAAATCATATTATATATGCAATGGGGTTGGGAACTCGATTTTTTAAGAATGCATGAAAATGATCAAACTATTTTCACAGAATTTATGGTGCATACCATTGCCTCATAAAATCAATATCCTGAGAGAAATGGGGGAAGAAAGATAGGAAACTTGTTTTGAAAAGTTCTTGAAAAAAGATGCTCTTGATGCTGTTACGTCACATGTCACCTTCTGCGGTTGACAAATAATGGCGCATCTGGCGCACCACAGATTACATGTTATATCAATGGGTGAAAGATGTTGTTTGTTTCACTCTGCCATTCGCGCTGTTTTTAACTTTAAATTATGCTAAAACATTTACGGATGAAATGTTCACTGTCAAAAATTGATGTGTCTGCCGTGTACTATATTCCCACTTAACATTGAGCGCGTGATAAACATTTTATGTACCTCGAATTTTCAAATGATAAAGATGATGAATCGGAGGATGCTGAAAAGCAAAAGCTCATTCCAATATTTGGACTACTTTACGATTAAAATGTTTACATTCCTGTCATCTTATTGATCATTTATTTGTTCTTTTTTATGAAAATAACTTAAGGCGTTGAGAACCGAGGTAATTTCTATCTACCGTGCCTTAACTTACCAGCAACAGCAATCTATCTACGCCCTACGGTGGCAAGGGAGACTGTGAAAGAAGCGTAAGATGGATTCTAAACAATTATTTTGTGATATACTGAAGGGCAAAGTGCAGAGAAGAGCGTACAAGTCCTGTTTTGTGCCAGGCTGTTGCAGCAGCACTTATGAAACTCCGAAAACGATCTTCGTTCATGTCCCGAACAACATTACCCTGAGGAGATGATCGTCCGCAATAGCAGGAAGAGCTGATGCAAGTACTTTGAAATCCACTATCAAGTCGGTGCTATTGTTGTACTGATCACTGTGAGGTGAGATATTTTGTGTAAGTGCTGAGTGTAATGCCCAGGAGATGACCTCCATTCGCCCCCTGACCGGTCAGGGTTATAAAATTTGAGTGGATGGCGGTCCGTTTGGGGTTCAGATGTCAATTGTATTTTGTTACTGTCAAACAATACATGTTATGCTGGCAGCGAATGTGTGTAACGTCGGTTTTCGAAACAGAAGTTAGAACTGTAACGGCAGAGTGCTTGCTGGTCTCATCGTAAGTATTGTAAATGTTGTAGGCAAAAGCATTGTCAATATTGTAAGTATTGTGAGCATTGATGTATGGTAGATATCACCTCACATGATCTCGGCTCAGATAACCCTCTCCGGTGTCCCTGTCAGTAAATGGCACCTGGATCATTACAGATAAGATAATTTGTCATAATTTAAAGAATTGGGTGGTTTTGACTCGTTTACTCGAGGTGCAGGTCGCATTTCAATAGGTACTTTTCCATAGGCTTGCAATGTAAAGGTCACGACTCTGACCTAACCTCACGTCACAGATCAAAAATTCTGAGATATACGAACGACACATACTGCAGGTACTGTTTTGAAGACTTGATGAGAGGAAATAACTTCGTGAAAAACTCAAGCTCTGACGTGTTTGCAAACTTTTCTGAGGTGGGGTCAACAAACCCGCTCTGGTTACCTGACCTGACCTGACCCGGCATTTTTTTTTTTTTGCTGAGATGTGCGCAATGAGCATTTAGGAAAAGTCACCAAATATGAGCTGAATGTCTCGCGGCGTTTGGCAATTGTACAAGAAAATCCTGAAAGGCCTCCCCGTCCGAAATAGGGTTAATGTGTATATGAAGAGTTGCAGATGCCAAACATACCCAGATCTAAGACTGCAGTTCCCAGCGCCGCTGCAACGTTTTTAAAACAAACATACATAGGACATACAAACATGTTTATTTGCATCTGTTTTGGATAATAGCAACTCATGGCGCCATCACCCGCGATAACTGTTAGGATTTGAGATATATTTTTGTTTAGGCCATTAGTTTGGCTGTAATGTTTATTAATATTAGTTGGGCGGAGTTTGGTAGTTTTTTTTTATTTAACTTGTGGTATGTTGTGCTGATTGCGGGTTGTTCAAACCTTTCAAATGTAAGGACCTTATTGAACTCAACCCTACCCCTACACTACCCTACATACGACTGGACGCTTTCCAAGCCCACAAGCATGACGACGCCGAGATGGAATGTAGCCGGGAAATCACCCTCGCCATCTGCTCTAGAGCTAATCGTGTGGGGCGGCGTGTGGGGCGCCGCTTAGCCTATGGGGGTGCACTTCTAGTGGATGGGGACGGGGGTGCACCTGCACCCCTTTCATATGGAAAGTTACTTCCCTGATTACAGCTCCCCGTATTGCACCTAATCAGGGAACGGCCAGCAAACGGAGGAACTATTTCTGGATGACAGGCGAATAACCGCTCACGCAAGGAGCGGAGCTCCGCCCCGTCCAAACTGGCCAACAAAGCAGAGACAGAGGCAGCATCACATCTTCCATCAAAGAACTGGTTTCTGGCTTGGAAGATGAGCTCCATCTTTGCATCCGAGTCGGTGCTGTCAGGAATCAGCTGGTCTAATGGAGTGAGAGTATTGAGACGACTTGCTATTGTATCAGAGCTGCCTGGTCTTCGTAGCATTTGCACCGATTCTTCTCGATCGGACTCTGAATTCTGTCCCTCCTGCGTATTACTTGAGGCATTGCTATGTAGCTAAGTCTCTGGCAGAGTTTCATTATCCATGCTTTGCAAACAGTGCCATAACAACACAGTTAATTAATTACCAAGCTGTTTTGCAAGTTCCAATACAGTTGAATCGCACGCGATTTGAGTGCAAAAATCAAGAAAAGTGCCAACTTGTTCCCGTAAAATATTTTGAATATTGACCTAAAAAAATGAGTAATTTCCAGATAAAATAACAGCGAAATCAGTTTTCGCTTGCCAATAAAACTCACAGATATTGAAGCTCCATTATTAACCCGGCAGTTGCTGGGGTATTTCGCCACCCACCGTTTGCTGGGGGGGGGGGGGGCGTTAAACGCCCCCAGCCGATAACTCGAGAACCAATAGGCGCAGCGAAACGCACGAGGCGGCAAACGAAAGAGCGCGACGAGACGCTTCAGATGAGTACTTTAAAGTTGAATTTTGAGGTCACAGGTCGGGTCAAGGTCAGGTCAAACACCTGAAATCGGGCTTTCAGTAGCATGGACTTCAGGACTTCGCAATGGGCGCCTCTCGCCATAAACTCTGTCAAAACGGTGCACAATCCATCTTATAAGGCCTACGAGAGTGTCAGCTCCATGTAGGGGTCAGTCAAGCATAGGTCAGGGTCAAGGTCAGGTCAACCGGGTAGGCACATATCCCCGAAAATCAAAACTGATATTCGCAGCCTGTGACACATGTTTAACGGGTAATTTGGGGCGTAGAACACGATGGTGACATTCATTTTATCATATGTGTACGTGTTTGGCTCAAAAAGTTCAATTTAAGAAATTCATGTAACATGGTCATGAAGTAGTCACGAAAAATTGCCAAGATTCAGTTCAAGATTATGGAAAATGCGGAACGATAATCAATAATCGAAGATAACCATTTGATTGATCATGGTATTGGCAGTCTAATGGCGTTTACGGCATGTCTGTATGTCTACTCTGTGATTTTATATGATTTTTTGAACATATGCCGTTTTTGGTCGAAAACTCAGAAATCATGACGTCACTAAAACCTCGATATCTCAAAAATTTTCCGACCGATTTTTTTGAAACTTTGTCACAATACACTTCAATCGACTCCCTACAGGTACCCAAAATTTGGCGCGCCTGCGGCGCGCCGTTTTTATGCTATGGCCCGGCGAAAAAAGTGGGGGCGTTTAACGCCCCCCCCCCAGCAACTCGCGGGTTAAAGGAACATTTTAGTATATGCCATTCTTTATAAAACTTCTTAGCCACGCAATACCAGCGCAAAATAAAGAGACACTGAAAACACGACCAATCACTCCGATTTACCATAGGAAAATACATAGACAATGTATGTCTCAACTGCGCCAAATATACAGACAGTTATATACCTACATGTGACGTCATGATTAGCCCGACCAATCAGAAGCAAGTTGTTTTCAGCCACAAATAATTAATTTCTGAACTAACTAGGCATTTTGTTAACAAAGTGATTTTAAATTAAATCATTAAAAATTCTGAGCTTTTTTATTTTACCAAAACATACAGAGCATGCAGATAGGTCCCAACCCTATTACGTACCCAATTAAAGCAAATACGAATAGCTCTTGTGGATCGAATGGGAAATCCACCTTGAAATCCGTCTTGAATAAGGCAGTTATCGTTTCTGCAAAAAGAGACGTGGTGAGTTCACATGCTGGTGTGGATACGCACATCAGTCTCCAGCAGATGAACAGTGCTACCAACAAAACCCTTCACGAGATTTCGTTATCACCCTATGCACACACGTGGGACTGTGCGCTTTGCCACAGCACAATGCATTTGAGTACACATCAATTAAACACTGTTCAAAAAAAAAAATAGTTCCAGCAATTACGAAAAGTCTCCATTACATTTAAAGACATGATGTGGAGATGAATTGTGAATTAAAATGAAATCGGACTTACTCCACAAGAGTTCGTTGGGTCGGAGCTTTCGAATTGTATTACAATTCTTCGTCAGCGAGAGTCGTATCGGATGTTAAGATCGAATCGATGGTACAGTGCGGATCGAACAAAATATGGGTCGGACAGGAGGGTCTCTGAGGCAACTAGTTGGTCTTAAAATAAACATACAAACACTGGGAAACACGTGAATAATAACAGGATGCACACTCACTAGAAAAGGCCTGTATAATGGGTATAAAACACACTAGTAAAATATCTAATACAAAAATATAGGCAGGTAGGTAAATCAACTGGCAGGTAGGCAGGTAGGCAGGCAGGTATAGGCAGGTAGGTAAATCAACTGTATTTTTACCTACCTGCCTATATTTTTGTATTAGATATTTTACTAGTGTGTTTTATACCCATTATACAGGCCTTTTCTAGTGAGTGTGCATCCTGTTATTATTCACGTGTTTCCCAGTGTTTGTATGTTTATTTCAAGACCAACTAGTTGCCTCAGAGACCCTCCTGTCCGACCCATATTTTGTTCGATCCGCACTGTACCATCGATTCGATCTTAACATCCGATACGACTCTCGCTGACGAAGAATTGTAATACAATTCGAAAGCTCCGACCCAACGAACTCTTGTGGAGTAAGTCCGATTTCATTTTAATTCAGTCTCCATTACGTTATCCATGCAAGAAATTCATAATGCATTACTTCCCATTCATATGTTTTCCAATCATGCGCAGTACCGCTCTGGCATGCCACTTATCGACATATCCATAGACCTCTGTATACAGACTATGGCATATCCCCACTACTCATCCTTGAACCATACACAGCACCCACTCCAAAACCTATACATTTATCATCGAAGTCGAACCATGCACTGCTTTTTTGACATGCCGTCATCCTCGAACCATACACTGCTTTTTTGACATGCCGTCATCATCGAACCATACACAGCTCCATTGGAAGGCATACCTTCATCCTCGAACCATACAGCCAGCAGTCGGAACACCATTGCCCCGCACACGGCAGCGAAGAATCCGCGCCAGTAGTTTCGAACGGCAAAGTACACTGATGTGACTTCTATGCTGAACAACACACCTGCCAGAGGAGAGATGGTTTTGTTAGAGTAACGTTGCTGGAATATTGCGATGGAGGTTGGTTTGGGTAGCATACGTAACTGTCTGGCATCGTTGTTTAACTATGCTTATTATAAATTAGCTCTTGCTACCACTCTAAAATGCCGATGATAGACCCATTCCACTAGACAATGCAAGATATCGAGGCATTACACAATGCAAGCGGTTAGGCAAGCCCGCCACCCGCCAGAGCGATGCGGAACAGCGCCAGTCAGTCGGGGCGCATCATCGTACTGCTTCAAATTCTGCCGCTATGAGCGCTGGGGTCACTGTCGGAGGTGTCGCTAGCTACATGATGCTCAGTCGCAACGGACCACCATGAGCTGCTAGAACAAGGGCAAGTCAGCATTGCATAACGTAACGCAGACCCTAGCCTCAATGTGCGCACGGTGCGTGAATCATAGAAAACATCGCTCACAATAAGTCAGTGTGTTTTGTTTTGTTTTGTTTCTGTTCTTGCTTGATTCAGCGACAGGACGGTGTTTGTGAAGTTAAATGTGTCCGGAAACATACCTATTTGAGTATCTTTTTTGTTACGTAACGGTGACGTATTACGTAAAAAGAGACATCGGTTTTCTGCTAGCCTGTTCGCAATACGTTTTTATGCTGTCACTACTTTTTTTTTTGTATTCATAAAAATCTCCACGTCGTGGCTCTTCCGATTTCAGAGTCAGTACATTAGTTAAACACAATGGGCATGTTCATAAAACACGAAAAAAAATGATGGTTTAAAAATCACTATAAATTGCTAAAATGCGATAAAACTGAGCACATCTACTCCCCATGTCTTGCGATTCACCTCCGTGGGTGACACAATAAACGACTCCTCCTGAGCTCGGCTGGCAGGCGGTTCCATGCGGTGGTAGCCCGGCACATAAATGCACGGCGAGCGAGTTCTGTGCGCACGCGTGGCATTTGCAGCAGCATACTCTCCGATCCCCGCGTGGTCCTTTCTGATACATTTGAACGGGACACAATCATTGTGCGGAGATGCTCAGGCGACTCAGGTGACCTCAATCAATCAATCAATCAATCAATCAATCATGTATTGAGTCCTCCATGTGAATGGTTTTTCAGTGCTCTCGTCATACAATCATTCACAATCTATAAAACTACAAGTGGGTATAAAACACACATCAGTAAGAATGACGCACAGTATAAAAGTAAAGAGAATTGTCTGTACCAGTAAGATACTCAGATGGCAAAATGTGAAGTTAAGAATGCACAATACGCGGGTAAAAAGTAGACAAAGTAAATAAAAGTGAGCAGCGCAAAAAAAAATCATCACAAAATACATCACAGCTTGTTTGCCAGAAAGCTAACGATGGAGACCGTTCCACGATTTTACTGCTCTAAAATGAAAAGTACGCCTAGCTCGCTCTGTTCTAATTTTAGGCAGGTCCAGCTGATCCCCACATGTGCCGCGAGTGAGCCTCCTATTCACATCAGAGCGACGCATCACGAGTCCAGCTAGAGATGGCGGCGCATCCGACGAGAGAATCCTACGCAGCATCGCTGTGTCTCGGTCCTCCAACATCTTGTCAAACTTCGGCCATTCGAGAGCTTCCAGAGCTGCGCTAATGTGGTCGCGTTTAGACAGTCCTGTTACAATGCGCGCCGCGAAGTTAATGGCCTTCTGCACACGTCGCCTCTGGGTTGCGCAGCAGCCTCCCCAGACGGTACAGCAGTACATTATGTGGGGGAATACAAGGGCCTCGATAAGCATCTTTTTTACTTCATACGGTAGCTTATGTCTCAACTTAGATAGGCCGACTAGTACATGGTAGCAGCGGCGGGTCACCAACGACACCTGCTTCTCCCAGGTCAGTGAAGAGTCAAAGAACACGCCTAAAATTTTGATCTCGTGACTAGGTTTAATTTCGCAAATGCCAAAGTCAATAGTAAAATTTGCACTACATATTTTTCTCTGCGGCTTTACTAGCAAAAGTTCAGTCTTAGTTGGGTTGATTTTTAGCCTGTTCTGGGATCAGAATCCGACAGAGTGCCGCCAAGTCACATTTAGTAATCAGCTCATCAATTTTGAGCCATCCCAGTTCTTTTAAAGCGGGAGTAATATGCTGAGACCTCTTTAGTCCGGTGATGATCCTGGCACCAAAATTTAGAACTTTCTGGATCCTATACTTTTGGGTTTTGGTGCAGCCGCCCCAAACGGTCAGACAGTAAGTGATGTGGGGATAAACAAGCCCTTCGATGATAACTTTTTTGGTCTCGTGTGGTAGTCGGTGGCTCAGCTTTGCAAGTCCCACCAACATACCATAACAGCGCCTGATGACGGCAGATATCTGGAGGTCCCAATTGAGATAAGAGTCCAAAGTTATGCCAAGAACCTTCACAGAAGGAGAAGGACTGATGAGCTGTTCCCCAAAATGAATTTTAAATGTTTCGTTGATATCTAAGTGAATTCGCTTAGACTTCACGACCAAGAGATCTGTTTTTGAGGGATTAATTTTTAAACGATTTTGAGTAAACCAATTCAAAACAATTTTGAGCGTGTTCTCTACTCTAGTACGGAGGTCACCCACGTTGGCCGGAGCATCCGCATCGATAAACTGCGCGTCGTCGGCATACATGATGAGCTGTCCGTGGCGAATAAAAGAAGGTAAATCGTTGGTAAATAGTAAAAACAAGATCGGTCCCAAAGTACTCCCTTGGATTACGCCATGTGTCACCGCCACTGGCGTTGTACACCCCGCCACACGCTGCGTTCGGCCTTCGAGCCAACCGCGGAACCAATGGTCATCCACACCATACCATCCGAGCTTTTCCAGGAGCCGGCAATGCTGCACGCTGTCAAACGCTTTGGACGTGTCTGTCGTCGTCAACGTGGAGACGAGGCCACGGTCCATGCTGCTGACAAGCCTGTCAACAGCGCACAGCATCGCCGACTCCGTGGAGTGGCCCGGGCGGAAGCCATGCTGTTCAGCGTACTGAAGTCAGTCTGCCAATCGCTGTTTCCTTTCCGTACCCAAAAATGTTGATATCTAGCAAACCGGAAAGAGCCTTTAGCGAAAAAAAAAAATAAAACCCCTGCAGTTAAAAGAGGCAGTCTCTTAAGCGTGCATTATTCTAGACGAGCCTATGCTATCAAACATCCGCAAGCATGTTAAATCCAGAACTGAATTTACTTTGCTATTGTTAAGACCCCATTTTCATTAGCAAAACGATAACTAGGTGTGAACCCCTGCAGTAAAAAAAAATGAAACAAATTTACAAAGCTCTCAGTTAACCCGCGCCCCGTAGGGCTATCGGCGGACCCTACCACCCGTAGGGGGCGGGGGCGTTTCGCCCCCCTAATATTTCGAAAATTTACCGGCCGATTTTCAAAATTCAAACGGCGTTCGATGGCCCCATCAGGGAACTACCTTGTGACCAAATTTCATTGACCTAGGTCAAACCGATGACGTCACAGGTCAGGTCAAAGGTCGGATTTTCACCGTTCACAGGCATTTCAAGAAATGTGTTGTGAAGTCGAGTAAATTGGTAAGTTATTGAAAACCATCGATGGTAAATTGCTCGTCAAACACATACTTTGCTCTCTGAGGTCACTGATACCAGGTCAGGTCACAGAGGTCAGGTCACTGGGGGTCACAATATCAAAGTGTCGTGTGATACATGTTTTATGGTCCATTTTACATGACAAATGCGATTATGTGGGTCAGGCAGCCTTTGGGACCAGCTTAGGTCACGTATTGGTAAAGGTCAGGTCAACGTCAGGTCAAATTAGGTCAAATGTCAAAGTTGATATTTTTGCATAAAATGGGTATCGATTGGATGCAGCTCGTCACGGAGAGTCTAATGGTGGTCTTTGTTTTGCCCTACATGGCCTAGAATTGCCAAAAATTGAGTTTGAAAATTTTGCGTTATCATTTTTGAACAGTTTTTTCGCTATAACTTGGCCAAAAAACGAGATATCGATCTGAAATTATGCGGTGAAATTATGTGGTATGGGGATAGAAGACGGTAAGTACTATCACATATATTCCGATTTTTTTCGAAACTAAAAAAAAAATGATTTTTTTTGGCTAATATATAAAAAAAATGTTTTTTTATCTTTTGGGGGAGTCAAAACTGAAAATTTTCAAAAATCCGACATAGTCATTTTGTAGCCCTGTCGATTCCACACCTCTTATGTCTTGATCATTTTTTCTGTATCTTCAAAACTGTAGGCCTGAGAGCTCTTCTCGCGAATGTCTTTTTTCGGTCGAAATTGACAGAACATGACGTCATTCTGACGTCATGTGTGGCCAACCTATCATAGCCTCTGGAAAAATTATTGGTCACAATGTGTAAAATTGATGCCCGGAGGGGTCCTAAAAGTTTGGTGGCGATACCTTTAGTCGTTGAGGAGATATCGACGGAAAAGGACATGGGGGCCGTTTCGGCTCCCCCTATACGGGGCGCGGGTTAAAAAATATATTTTTGGAAGAAAGCAAAACCTGTCTTCCGCTTAGAGAGAAAAACTTTGTTTGTTTACCTTGCTCTTTCACACGGAACATCTGGGTCAAGTTCAGTGACTTGACCACTACAATACAATCGAATGGGAAATGCGAAAAATGCACATTATACACCATATCTGTGCTGTATGTCTTTCTCTCCACGTCTCTGTCTTCCTTTCCCGCTCCCCCTTCCTCTCCCTCTTTCTACTTCTCTCTCTCTCTCTCTCTCTCTCTCTCTCTCTCTCTCTCTCTCTCTCTCTCTCTCTCTCTCTCTCTCTCTCTCTCTCTCTCTCTCTCTCTCTCTCTCTCTCTCTCTCTCTCTCTCTCTCTCTCCTTCTCTCTGTCTCTCTCTGTCTCTCTGTCTCTGTCTCTGTCTCTGTCTCTCTCTGTCTCTGTCTCTCTCTGTCTCTCTCTGTCTCTCTGTCTCTGTCTCTGTCTCTGTCTCTCTCTCTCTCTCTCTCTCTCTCTCTCTCTCTCTCTCTCTCTCTCTCTCTCTCTCTCTCTC